TGATTAATCGTCAAAATAATTTTAAATTGCTTATCGATACATATATCGAGACATGCATACGCACACAGATTCGGATATTTTACTGCATTTGTTATCTTTATTCGCAGGTTACTAAAATTAAGTTTTGAGAGTCAGTTAATGCAGGGGTAACCAAGTAATGGGTAGCAGGTTTGCGTGGTTCAAAGCTAAAGTCTGTCTGTGTGCAGCTAATTGCTGTGTTAATTATGTGCACCATTAAGATTTCACGGAGCTAGCTGGAGCCTTCAGATGGGAAATGCATGCTTAGCCACTTCCAGCTGGAACGAGAAGGAAGCCTCGTCATCTGAATTCGTATAGAATTGAGCGCTGGCTTAATTTGAACTCAGCTATGCACGCCTCACAATACGCATATACTAACTAATTAATGACAATTATTATCTTTACACATTCTTTGTTATGAAAAACAAAAATGTTTTAGGCTCTTGTAAATTCCTTTTTTTTAATAACAAATGACAGACCAATTTTGTTCGAACTCAATTCATGGAGTATAATACATGCATGCCAGACATCAATGACAGTTTATAACACGAAACAACGTCGTCTGGTTCGTCGTCAGCTAGTAAAACTAGCTAAATTATTATTTTGAATTAGTCCTTCAAATTATTTAACATTGTTACTTAGATGCTAAAATCTTATTAGTTTATTTTAAATCAGTTTTATACGTAGCTGCATTTGGTTTGAGAGCAAGTGTTACGTTTAACTAATTAACTTTTATTATGGGTTTCCAGTTATACCTAGCTGCTTTACGTTAAAATCAAGACCGACATTCTTAATGATTTGAGGCAAACTAAATTTAAAATATTAAAGAGTTAAGGGGTCAATGCCGAAAAATCCATTTACATAACTAGTTGTAAGTAATTAGCAAAAAAAAAAAAAAATTCTACAAATCCCTTGTCTTTTTTATAAAAAAAAAATCCCTTTGAATGTGATACGCTAAAATGGCATTCATACATGTTTCCATATTGCTAAAAAGAGCACAACGCAAAAAACCAACTTAATAAAATTTAGTGCAATGCCATTTAATTTTAACCTATTTAAAACGAGATAAATGGAGATAAGTTAGACCTTCCCATGCTTTCTCCATTTATTTACCGAATAATTATCACATTTGATATGGTGTTCTCAATCACTTAAGTGTAACTCTTTGCCAGCAACGGACAGGTGTACTTCTGCATATAATACCCCAATCAAAGTAACAACCCAAGATCAACTAGGTTCCACTTAGCCGACTCGTCAAGTCAACATTCCTTCATGTCGACTCGAAAGACGGTACTAGTCGACCCTCTTGTCGAAGACGACTCGCAATGAGCCCACTAGACCAGATATTCAATGCCTCGCGATGATGACTCGAAAGACGTTACTTCTCAGCCAAGTTAAATGACTTTGCCCTCGAGCATCCCCCCACTGACAATGTCGACGTCGCATTTAATGCTTGACATGTGTCATCATGCCTCTAGCCCTGATAGTCTCCATGACTCATTGGACCACGTCAGCATCGACATACCTCCGATCACTTCCCATTTAAATACTGAAGTGATCTCTCCTCTAATCGCCAACCGACACCTGTAAAGCAGAAGCTGACTCGACCGTCAGCCCATGCTTCTTCATCACTATTCTGTGCTCGATTACAATGACAATTCTGCCTTTCTGGCATCACTATAAATACATGTACTATTCTCAACAAGAGAGGATCCTTTTTTGGGGAGATTTTTGGACATTTAAACTTTGCTTCTTCTGCATATCATACTACACACAGAAGAACTCTCACAGTTTTTCATTTTCCCCACTCAAGTTCACCAGTTGACTTGATCGTCGAAGGGACCACAAGGGAACCAGTCCCCCGTCCTCCCACGTGTTTTTATATGTGCAGACTTTTCAACCATCCAACTCAGAACTGGATATTGTTGTGATTTTTAGATCTCGCAAAAACCCTGAAAACCACTAAACACAGCAAATAGAATCAGACGGAATTTAACGTGAAAAACCCTCAACAGAGAAAAACCACGGGATCAAAATCAATCCACTATCACCTCTAAATTATAATCTTTTACACGGACAAAGACTGCTAAACCCTCTTTCTCACACTGACAAAGACTGTTAAACCCTCTTTCTCACAATACCCTTGATCCCGGTTATACCCTCTAAAATCATGATTACAAGAATATTCTCTCTCTCTCTCTCTCTCTCTCTCTCTCTCTCTCTCTCTCTCTCTCTCCTCTGAAAATCCTAGAATATAACACCTTATTTAAAGACACCCCTAACTTGTCCGTCAAGTTAACTTGGCATCTAAGAAAACTATTAGGATTGAGCCTAGCCTTCAAACCCGCATCCAACTTAGTGTTTGAGTTGGTACTATGGGTGCTAAACCGTATCCGTATCCGAGAAAATATCTGTAACCGTATCTGTATCCGAGGAAATATCTTCAACTGTATCCGTTAGGAGACGAATATGGTTACTCAAATCTATAACCGATATGATATGGTTACAGATATGGTTTTGTAGTGAAATATCTGTATCCGTATCCGAAATATCCGAATACATATTAGTCATACTCTTACGATAATTTCGATTCTTAGATTATGAATTTGTGGTTAATTTTGATGATCAAGATGTCTAATCTTAACTTTTCAATTATAATGGACATATTAACGAACTCTTTTGTATCACATGAACTATGTTTTTCTCAATAGTATCTAGTTTTCTCATATCTGTTTTGTATCCGCATGCATATCCGCTTATATATCTGCATGTATATCTGTAATCGTATCTGATTTTAGCGAGGTATATTGGTATCTGTATCCGTATCTGAGATGGGTAAGCGGATATGGATATGATAAACATCATATCTAAGCCGTATCCGGACCCAATGCACCCCTAGTTGGTATCTAAGCCGTATCCGGACCCAATGCACCCCTAGTTGGTACCCAACAGATATTCGGGAAAGAAAGTGGCCTCTCATCAACTTCATCATCATCCAATCACGGATATAATTAAATGTGTGATCACTTGACATCAACAACATTCAAATCAAACAAATAGAATTTGACTTTTTTTCTTTTTCCTTTTTTTGAGGAAAATAGTATTTGACTGTGAATCTGTGATCCATTAAAAACCCACGATGCCCTGCATTTGACATTTGACATTTGACCCCAAACAAAAAACCCACCGCACTGTGGGCCCATTGTATCAGAGAGAGTAAAATTTCCGGTGAATATTAAGCGCCCGCTAAACTCCTCTGACTCTCCCCAATCACCCAAACGAACTGAGCTGACGTGGCACTACATCACCGGGCCCACTTTCCTATCTTTACGTCCCGATAATCTCAAACCCTTTCACCCCCTCAAAAATAGAAACAAACCATAACTCCCCACTCTTAAGTCAATTACCGAAATACCCCTCTCATCCCCGTCCCCCTTTATATATCCGCCTCTCTGCACTTCCTTCTTCCTTCTCTCAACGCTCACATCGCTCATTTCTCTCGACACAGAAAAAACGTAAATTTGTTTTATTTTAAATTATTAAAAACCCCCAAAAAAATTGAAACTTAACGCGATGATGAGTATTTGTAGGACGATCCATACC